ATAAATAAAAAACGAGAAAAACATTTTAGAACGGAGGAAGTCATAAATATTCTACCCTCAATGGTAGAGTGCAAATCAAGAACTTGACAAAGGACGTGTTTTACGAGAAAGTTTTAATGAGAGAAAAAAAAAGATTAAAAAAAAGTAATGAGTTGTGTGTGTATGGCATGGTCACTATCTGCATACAGTGTACACCAATTACAAGGATCAACGAGTTTTACGTTTCTGTTTGTTTTGTTTTTCCTTTTTCTTGACTTTTCATGCCTTCCCTTATTTGTATACCCCAATAACCCCATTAATTACCTATAGTCCGAATTTTTTTTTCTTTTCAATTTTATACTCCCTCCGTCCCATTTTATAACGCTTGTTTCGGGTTTACGATGTTTGACTGAAGTTATTTTCAAATTATTTTATATGACAAATGGTATAGAATTAAAAAATAAAAATTACATATCAAAATACTACATCAAAAGATCTATAAAACTAGTAGTGACAATAATATTTTATTTTATCAATTTGCTAACGAAAATAGAGAAAGAAAGTGAATGAAGTTTGACCATGTGAATAGTGAACAGACATTATAATTTGGGACGGAGGGAGTAATATATTCCTCCTCTTTTTATTATATTTATCTGTATTGTCATGCATAGGAGCGTGATTGGTGTGTTTTAGCATTATTCTTATTATATCCACATTAAAAAATATACATTGTGAAGATTAGTGATTAAGATTGGACAAAATACTAGTCTTGTATCGATAACAAATTTTTTAAACTTTTGAAGTTCCAAAAGAAATAGGGGTAAACTCGACAAGAAATGACTGATTATCCTGAAAAATATATAAAAATAACAATTAGTAAAACTTTCGAGAACCAACATCAGATCGTACTGCAGAGTATTATCTTGTTTTAAAATCAGATCGTACTACTCCATTCTCGAGAACCTCATAATCGCCCGAACAGTCATATTAGATGAAGTAAATTAAACTATAATCAGAGATTGGCGGGCATAAGGGAGATGTAGCATGTGTAATTACTTGTATAAATTTTATGTTTTTTTTTTTTGAAAGAGGGTTTCTAGTAATGGATAATCATGATTATGATCAGTGTGTGTTTTGGAGGGGATCGGATCAGTGTGAGCGGTAGTCCATCCACAGCAAGCAAGCTAAGACTGATTCCACGATAGACATATGTGCAGACTGTAGACCACACCTCATTTCATTATTACTCCACTCGAAATCATACTCCGTACTCTTTTATTTCTTTCTTACTTTTAAGATAATTAAAGAGTAATAAATGTTGATTTATTAAAATATACCGTGATTGATAAAATTAAAATATAATAGAGGATTAATACTCCCTCCGTCCCAAAAAGAATTACACCTTTTAAAAAAATTGCGTCCCACAATCTCCTACCCATTTCTATTAAAAACCACTTTTACCCCTTACTTTTTCAAACCCTACCTATCATATCATACCTTTTTCCTAATAATCTACACATCACATTTTACTTTTACCCATCACATCAAGGGTATTTTTGGAAAGTCAACACAAAATTATCCCTCCCTTAATTTCAACTTTAGTCAAAATGGGTAACACTTTATGGGACGGAGGGAGTAGTAAATATACATGAGTACATAATATTATAAGATTTTCACCCTCCAATGATTCCAATCCCATGGATTTGATCTCTATTGCAAATGCGTTTAGAGATGTCTCCTGTACCTAATGCACACAAGAATAATCACATATGAAAAAAAAACACCGAAAAAGATATCAAAATTTCATATATTTATCTTTACAATCTGATAGATATCAAAACCTTTCATTTAAATACGATTTTGATATCTTAATCTTTCATGTTTTGATAAAAAAAATACCAAAAATTATTGTAAATCGCGAGATAAAGAAACTAGTATCTTTTGTGCTCACCAAGCACACACACCATAAGGGCATCCACAATGGTAGCATCCCTCACTAGATGTTGAAGTGTGGAGTCTACTTTTAAAATGCCAATTGAGCACCCTTCTCAACATCTAAACCTTTCAATAGTGGCATCTCATATGGATGCCTCATTTTATTCAATGAATGCAGTGGGTCCATATAAATATATTTATATTTTATTTTTCTTAATTATAAGTATTTATTATATGATAATTTTTAATTAAGATTAATTATTTACTCGTTATTATTAATATTACCTTCTTCCTAGAATATATATCTAATTTTGACTTTTTACATTTAAATTAATAAATTTGGTCTTTAATTAAATAAAACTTATATTAGATATTGATATAAAATTAAATTTCTTAGATTTATGTTGTAAAATATTTTAAAATTTTTTTTATGTAATTAATATATGATGTACTCCGGAGTAGTTAATATTGTTTCTAAACAAACAGAAAAACAAATACCTAAGAAAATTTTCAAAATAAATAAAAAATAGTCATTCCATTAAAAAAGAGTTTGAATTCTAGAACATTGCAATATCTAATTTTTTGAAGTTGCCAAATCTAATTTAATAAAAAAAAACTTTTGAGCCTTCATAAAAACTACAAATGCAAACTTTTAAATTGAAAAAATAATAAATTGACACATGGCACATATATATTGGACCACAATACTTAAAAAAAATGCCTCAATTCTTCCATCCTCAAGCATCGGGTGCTAGGCCAAGCATCTTCCTTTCATTTTTCTCTTTGAGCATCTTTATTGGGCATCCATCTACAATAGTAGCATCCATCAACATCTCACTCTCTCTCCTCCTAGCATCTCTTTTGAACATCCTATTGGAGATGGCTTAAGTAACATGGAGTTATTGACTTATTGTACACGTCACGTACTCTTCTTTATATTTTATTCCAAAAAAAGTCGTTATGTCTCTTCCCTTTTTATATAAAAATATGATGCCTATAATTTTTTTTATTTCAAGCAAATTTAATCTTTTTATTTTTACTTTTCATCATAGTTCTTAAACTCCAAGAAAACACTTTTCTTCTCAAATAGAGAAAAAATGAGAAAAAAATATATGTTGTGACTCGTGAGGCAGAGTCGACTCCGAAAAATGAAAAAATAAAACTGGCTCAATCTAAAATTTATATTTTAGACCTTATTTTATTTTTCTAGATTACAATGTTTTAAAACTAATTGATAAGAATTTAGGATGGGTATGGACAACTGGATTGGGACAATAAGACACTTGGGTTGAACCACATTAAAAGATTGAATTCAATCAATTAGTTAGTTCAATTCAAGAGCTTATATACCAATTAATTTGCTCACACTTTTCCGATGTGGGATGCACTCTAACACTCCCCCTCAAGTGGATAACCAGGCCATTTTGAATCTAACCGGTTGACCACTTGCAAATGAACTCTCATTCCCTTGATTTTTTTATGAGTGCCAACACCTAAAGGACCACGAGCCGCTGGGTATGGACTTCCAGACGAGCAATCGTGTTAAACAGGACACAGGCCGTCGGGTACAACTTTCATACGGACAACTGGGCTAAAGACTAACGGGCCGCTAGGAATGAACGTCTAGACGGACACCTTGACAAACGAGGTGGGCTAAAACTGGCTCAGATACCATGATAGAATTGTGGATTGGGTATGGATAATTGGATTGGGCAATAAGACACTTGGGTTGAACCGTATTAAAAGATTGAATCTAATCGATTAGTTAGTTCAACTCAAGAGCTTATATACCGATTATGTTTCTCACACTTTTCCGATGTGGGATACTCTTAACACTAATATAGACTTTAAAATTAGGGAGTCCTAAAATTTTAAAGTGAATTTTATGTACTCTGTAAGGAAGTAGGGGGTAACCACAGTAATGTGTACCGGCCGGGTATCATTCTTACCTTTCCCTAAGCGCAACAACAGCGACATTTGCGGGCGACCTACATGTCAGCTTTTGCATAGCACGTGTCATTTCGCTCTCATCTTGACTTCAATTAATCACCTTTAAAAAATATGGTGCCCACAATTTCGGTCCGGCCGAGAAGAGGATATATCCGCAAGGAGGGTTCATCCTTTTTCACGGCAATTACTTTTTGACCCAATTCGATATTATGTTTGGTAAAATTAATTATTCCTATTTTTTCTTAACTACTCCCTATTTACATTCCCGCACCTCCATCACCTCTCTTGCTTTCTTAACTATTAATATATATTAATTTTGAAAATACTAATAGATCACCTTTTTAAAATGTTAATATTTATCTCTAACGCTGATTCAAAACATAGCCAAAGTAATTATTGCATAGTTACAGCGCGAAAATGTTGTGATTTGAGATTATGAGTTCAAATTGCACCACTTGATCGAACAAGATTTTTCAAGTATTACCAAGTGTAGGTTTTGAACACCTTTTTTTGTTGAAAAATTACAAGTATACTCCGACAATTTCTGATTTACAAGAATAATTCGAAAATAAATTAATTACATCATTGCTCAAAGAATTACGATGAGCGGAGTGTTTTTGTAAAAAGAGAACAATTATGAGAATAACAATGTAATTTATTTTTGAATATTCTTGTAAAATTAGAGATTTGTCATACTATTGTGATAAGTTTTTTTTTTTCCGAAAACTTGTGGTCTAGGAAAAAAACCGTTTCGTATATTCAATTACCAAAGACTCCCTGGCCGTAGTTCTCAATAAAAACGTGTTGGATCTGACTCAACAACCGTTAAAGTAAAAACGGTCCAAGTCTTCTCCCCTCCCATGCCACCATTTATTCACAAACAATTTACTCCTTAACCCGTTTATGACTTTATGATAAACTCCCTCCCTTCCAAAATAATTTTCTCATTTGATATTTATTTGTCAAAATTCATAAATTTTGATTTTGATATATTGAAAAAATCCATTTTGGTTTGATATAAAAAAAATTATCATTTATTTTTATTTGAATCAGATCATATATGTTGTTCAAATCGGATAAATTCAGATCAAATGTAATTTTGTTCATTCCGAATTTACGAAAAGGAAAATTAAGAAAAAAACAGTAGTAGTATATTGAGTTTGATATGGGCGGAAGTTCTAAGAAGAGAAATTAACGTGAAGACTAGCGTTTTGGGTGGATTTACAAATGGGGCAAAAGAGTTGGGAGGAGCCACAGACGGTACAGAGGCACAGATGCCTGCACGGCAACAGCAGAACGCACGACTCTCCGTTCCCGCATTTTCTGCATAGCCTGCCAATGCTGTTGCAATTCCCGCTATTTCTTTGACCGTTTCTCCCGTCCTCGCTCCCCGCCGATCCTACTTCCGCGGCCGGGGAACCGCATCCGTCGCCGTCCACGTCGTGACCGCCGTGGTTGCTGCTGCAGCATGACTGCGCGTCGTCCATCAGTTCCGCCGCCTCGCCTCCCCTGGCTACTCCGCCGGCGAGGACTTGCTCCAGATTGCTCCGGAGGAAGTTCGCCCTCGCCTCGTTCGTCTGCGCCATCTCTCTCCATATCTGGTTCTCTACGCTCAGAGACTTGACTCTCTCTTCCAGAGCCCAATTCAGTTTCCCGATGTTCTCGATTTCAGCCTCCTTCGCCTTCAGTCTGCTCTGGATCCCCTGTTCAATCGCCGATACAATGTTTCTGGCGTATCTCTTCCGTCTCTCCCCGACCTCCATTCGAACTTTCTCCATCTGCTCATTTAGAAAAACGAAAACAACACAAGATTAGATTCAATCGAGCGATCGGAATACTGAAACAGAGGATTGAGCAGAAACCGCATCGGGATGAATCACTTACGTGTTGAACGATGAATCGATCGACGTCTCGCTGCTGTTGAAGGAGTTGGGAAGAGATATCTTCACCTAGGAAACTCAACGAACCGCACCGGTTATTGCTGTTCTGAAACGCGGGATGAGCGGCCAACAACGGACTGGCCTCCTCTCTCGACCGTTTCCGCCCCAGCGGAAGCCCAAAAGTCACGCCGCTGTCAGATTTCACCGCCGCCTTCGGCGGCAAAGCGTCGATCGCCGCCGACGAGCAGTTCATCGAGAAAAACGGATCCGCCGGTGCGATTCCAGGCAAGAGCATCGCTCCGCCGTACCCTACGACGCCTCCGGCGTACGGATTTCCGGTGACTCGAACATCATTCATCATATCTCTGCTTCATCACACCACATATTCACATCAGAAAACCGAAAATGAACGGCGATATGCACACACCGGACTCATATCCACGCGAATCTAACAACAAACGAGAGACGGAGATGTAGAAACAATACCTGCTGGTGAGAAGTGGCTGCGGACTGAACGGATTCAAGCGCTGCGCTTCAACAGTCATGCCGACGGCGACGGAGGGAGAAAACAGTATAATCGTGCAGCGGTAACAGTTTCTTCTTCAATCTGGTTGATGTGAGAGAAAGAGAGAGAAAGCGCGGAATGAGATATTGTGTGGATGGGTGGTGGGGTGGGGAGGTTTATATACGGACTGTGAATAATATTTAGCGGAAGAAGTTTTTGGAGGTTTGTTAAATGGGTGGGGGATTAATTAATAAATAAATAAATTAAATAGGGAGGGCAGTTATATATGGAAAAAAGGAAAAGGACAAAGAGAGGTTCTCCTTATTTTGCTACCCCCATTTTTTCCCCTTTAAATATACGGAGCGTAAAAATACGGAGTACTATTCTAATGGAAATGCCTCATTTGGAAATAAAATAAAATAAAAATGGTTTTATTATTTTAATGAGAAATTAGGTGCCTTACCTAGGAAAGTGTATCTAGATTGGAGGCAAATATATTAGCTCATTGTAAATCATTAATTTTTTTAAAAAAATATATACTCACTTCGTGTTTAAAAAACTTTATGTTTCATTTTTTGTACATCATTAAATATATACTTCTATACATATCTATAATGCCTAAGATTCAACATATTTCTCATTTTTACGGGTAGGAGTTACTTTGAGGTATTTTAGATAAGGTAGAAGTGTTTTATGGAATATATTCAAAAATGAAATAGGAAGTTTTTTTAAAGACGGAGAAAATACTACATTCATTCCTGAGTATTTTTTCGGTCAGCTATTTTCAATCTTTGACTCGTGATTAAATAAAATATATATTGTATATTAATTAGATAAAATAATATTTTAAAAATATTTGATATAATAAATTTAATAAAATTATTTTTGTATCAATATTTAATATCATTTTTATTTAATTTAAGGACACAATTTACCAATTTTAACCATAAAAAATCAAAAGTGAACAAATACTCATGAACGAAAGGAGTATTATAATAAAGACAATGATACTGAAAATAGTGTCTCGCATACCTAGAAACTTTTGTGATACCAATTGCTTATTAGACTTAGATTAATTTACTAATTCTTACATTATGAATATTAACAATAATATTTAAAGAATTTCTTTTTCTGTTTACATTGACTATGCTCGAGTTGAGAATTTCTTAAGAAGAGTCTCTATATTTTCTATTATTGGTAATACATGTATATACGCAACCTCTCACCGTTTCCAAACCTTAATATTTGTACTTCGTCATCCCACATCGAATATTCAAGAGTAAAATAATTTTCATATAAGCTCTTAGATTGAACTAACTAATCGATTAGATTTAATCTATTAATATGGTTCAACCAAGTTTTTTATTGCCCTAGTTGTCTTTACTCATCTTGTATTCTATCATAGTGGCCCTGTTTGGAAAATGGCTTTTCGGCTAGCTTTTGCCATGTTTGACTGACTTTGGTTTTTTTGACTGAGCGAACAGCCAAAACCGTTGTTTGGCTAATGGCTTTTTCACTTGGCATTTTGATCCGAAAAGCCAAAATCCAAAATGCCAAGGGGAGTAGCATTTGGACTTGGCTGTTAGGAAAATTAATTTTTTTTAAAGTCATTTTTTTGAAAGATATTTTATAATATACTACCTCCGTCCTATAGTATTTGTCCACTTTCATTTTTACACACCATCCAATACACTTCTTTAATCCATTTTATTTTGTAATTTGTATATTAAAAAATTATAGAAATTATATATTAATAATCTATATGTTAAGACAAATCAAACAAGATCACACATGATTATATTTAGACTTACACATTGAGAGAATTTGATGAGCCAAAGTGCTTAGATAAACAGTTCCAAAAGTCAAAACTGGACGAATACTCCGGGACGTCGAGAGTATTTAAAAACTAAAAATAAAAAATAAAAAACTAAAAAAATTAAATTTAAAAATTAAAAATTTCAAAAAAAAAATGAAATGAGAAAATAAAAAGTAAAAATCATTAAAAAGTTGTATATTAATAATTTCTTATGAATTAAATGAAAGTAAAATTTGATACTCCGTAGTAAAGATTTAATTTTTACATGTAAAAAAATGAAAAATAAATATCGTGTATATATATATATATATATATATATATATATTAATACGATTGCTCGTCTAGAAGTCCATATCCAGCGGCTTGTGATCTTTTAGATATTGGCGCTAAAAAATCAAAAGAATGAGAATTTATTTGCAAGTGGTCAACTGGTTATATTCTAAATGGCCTGGTTGTCGACTTGAGGAGGAGTGTTAGAGTGTCATCCCACATCGGAAGTTCAAGAGAAAAATAATTGGTATATAAGTTTTTTAATTGAACTAACTAATCGATTGGATTCAATCTTTTAATATGGTTCAGCCAAGTGTCTTATTGCCCATTCTAATTGTCATACTCATCCTAAATTCTATCATCTTCCGTTTTTGAAAAAAAGTTCCACTTTTGACCAAGTGGTAAAATAAGAATGTGTTAAATTGTAGTTGACTTTTAATTTTTTGTTTGATGTGATAAGTAAAGGTAAGATGTGATGAATATTACCTCCGTCCCGTGAAACATGGGACATTTGCTTTTTAGGAGGGATTTAAGGGAGTATATTTTGGTATTGAATTTACAAAAATGTCCTTTGATGTGATGGGTAAAAGTATGATTTGATGGATAGATTATTAGTAAAAAGGTATGATGTGATAGTTAGGGTATGAAAAAGTAAGGGGTAAAAGTGACTTTTCAATAGAAATGAGAAGTGTTTTGTGGGACGGATAAAAAAAGAAAGGGGAAATGTTTCACGGGACGGAGGTAGTATATTATTAGAGAAATAGTATGAAGTAATAGATAGAGTAAGAAAATATGGAAGTAAAAGAAGTTTTTTAATAGAAAATAAGAGCGTTTTGTTGAAAATGAAAAAAAAATAAAAGATGAAATGTCTCTAAGAAGGAACGGAGTACAATCTATGTTGTCACTTCATAACATTTTTTGCAATTTTACAACACAAAAAATGTTATGAAGTGACAACATAAATTATCAAATTGCAAGAGTTTTACAATACCATCATAAGGGAAATCTATTCCTCCCTCTTTCGTAATTTCCATGGCAACTGAATTTGAGACGCATCCTAACTTTAAGAGTGTGTTATTTCAAATAGAAGTTAAATTATCTATAATTTTAAATATACGATAATTCATATCTATGTATAAATAATCTAAAACTATAAACAACACAATTCTATAAAAATCTTGCTAAAAAACAAATTAAAATATCAAATTATATTTATAAAGGAACAAATAAGATTCTAGGTCTAGAACCCTAATCTATACCTATTTATTTTTTGAATCATGTTATAGGTACACCAAAAGTAAATATCAAATTATTCCTCAAAGAAACTCAAAGAAATGCACCGATATTTTAATTGTTACTCCCTTCGTCCCAAAAAGATTTACATCTTTCAAAAAAATTGCGTCTCACAATCTCCTACTCATTTCTATTAAAAACTCACTTTTACCCCTTACTTTTTCAAACTCTACCTATCACATCATACTTTTTCCTAATAATTTACACATCACATCCTACTTTTATCCATCACGTCAAGGATATTTTTGGAAAGTCAACACAAAATTATCTTTCCCTTAATTTCAATTTTAGTCAAAATGTGTAAATATTTTTGGGACAGAGGTAGTACAATAGTGAAAAATAGTTCAATTAAAAAAAATTACAGTGATATTATTTGTCAATGTAAATCATTGCACTAATTAAGATCATACTAGCACAAAAATAGCTTAATCCTTTTCTTTTCATCAAAGTTCTTTTGTTCAAGTACTCCGTAGTACCCCATAATATTTATGTTTCAGACTGTCGATGTGCAGCAAGCGAGGGAAGGACGTGTAGAGACAGGCTGTTGATATTATTAGTGGTTGCGAATTGAAAGGTGTCTTCAACTTTGATGATGTGGTCCAAGCTATATTAATGGTCTCCCTCCCTGGCCTCAAGTTAAAGGAAACTCAATTTCTAAGATTCATATGAAACTTAAACCAGATTCATGCCTAGCGAAAGTAGAGTTATTAGTTTATAGTCTATCATTATGTTGTAGGAAAATAAAATATTAACAGATATTACATTGTAATTAATTCAATAGCTCTAAAAAATAGTACTCCCTTAGCTCCATCTTAAAGATAATTTTCTTTTATGTTTTCTGTTTTCACGAAAGTTATTTTTTTTTTTTGAAAATTAAAGTTTAATTTAAAAATAATATTTATACAAATATATTAAAAAACTAAATCAAACATCTAAGACACTAGATATGCCGTGACTATATTTTCTATCAAATAACTTACGAAAATAGACTAATATAAGTTGACCACTTTTTCACTCTTTGACTTTTTTTTGAAAAATTTAAGAAAGAGGTGTTGGCTTTGACCCGAGTTGACCACTGACCGCCGCCATGACAACCCGTTCCACCGCCGGTTGCCGGCCAATGGTGGTCCAAGTCACCACTTTTATTTTTCTTTTATCAATTTTTCAATCTAAAAATATGATGAGCTTCGTGTATATGTTCGGTGAGCTTTGCATTGAAGCATGATGAGTTTTTGTTAGAGCTTGTGAGAATTGAAACTTTAAAATTTTTAAAATTCAAAGTGTTAAAAAAACATGGAGAGCTTTTCCATACAGTTTGGCGAGATTTGCATTTGTCCTTGGTGAGCTTTGCAGTGATCAGTGGCGAGTATTTGGTCATCTGACCGTAAGATGTCATCTTACCATAAAATGTCATTTGACTGAAGTCAATCATATATATCCGTATATATATATACATATATATATCATTGGTTCGATCAGTTGAACCACTAGTTCGACCAGTGAATTAGTGAGCTAATACCTTGTCTGGTTCAGTCACCGGTGCAATTCTAAAAAGTAAAAACTAAGATCAAAATTTGATTTCAAAGCCAAAATCAACTTAATTGTGGGGTGCAATTGAAGAGGGTGTGTTCGGGGCAGAGCGGGGTGGGAGAGTTTACCGGGGGATTAGGAGAGTGGTAACCGTTAATTTTATAAACGTAGCACCGGAACGCTCCTGAGTCATCACATGACATTGCCGAGCAATGTCATGGGAACCTGTGTGAAAATATTTGTACGGCATTGGAGTAGTACATTAAAAGAGAAGAAGTGATTAAGTATGGATCTGCATCTGCATGCATTAAATGCGGCCCAACCCAAGTGTGGAAGCTCATCACACAATTATGAAACCGAAATTGCTCAGACAAAATTTCTGCATTTAGGCTGGGCGGGAGACAAACAAAACTGCCCGTACCTATCATGCATCTCTTTTATAAAAATCACCCTAAATAGGACTAAAACATAGAGAAAAGTACCAAAATAGGACTTTCATGTTTTTTTCCTCGAAATAGGACTTTGCACTGTGATAATGTGGCTTTGCATTGTGGTAATGTGGCAGTGTACATGTGCACATTACTATACATTTTTGGTAATATATATGACCATGTTTGGTAATGTAAGTCCTATTTCGAGAATAAAAACATGCAAGTCCTATTTTGGTATATTTTAAATGTTTTAGTCTTACTTTAGTCTTTTTCCCTCTCTTTTATTGTTACTATTCATTTATTATTATTATTACGAGTAATTTCTATAAAAAGTCCATAATTATATTTCGTTTTACATATTTAGTCTCTATATATCAAATATCAATAATTTGGTCTCTAATTATTTTATTGTTTTCCACGAATGGTCCTTTGTTAATATTTCCGTTAAAAACATGGATAAAATTATAAATTTACATTTTTTATTACCTCAATTAAGCTTCATCTTTTCGCTCACACTCCTTTTCCAAACCTGTCGCTGAGTTTGAAGCTGTGAATCCAAAATCGAAATTATCACTCACCTCTCAATTGTTCGTCTTCTTGGTGAAATCAGAAATCGAAACTAGTAACCTTTAAGGATAAGTTTTAAGTTTTTTTCTTCGCAATTTTCTGAGATTAACCCAAAAAACGTATTTTTGAAGGTTATTGGTTTTGATTTTGGGCTCCACCATAAAGATGATCAATTGAGAGAGGAGTGATCGTTTTGATTTTAGATTTAGAGCTTCAAACTCTGTGACGGGTTTAGGAAAAGAGTGCGAGAGACGTAATATGTGAAAGTTAAAAAATTTTACGAGACGGGTATTATTGTCTTCTAATTAGTTCAATGTTTTCTTAAACGAAAATATATAGAAATAGAGATGAATGAATGATTCAATAAAAGGACAAAGCTAATTAATTCAATATGAAGGACTTTTTTATTTTTTTGAAATAATCAATATGAATGAATTATTAATTAATAAAATAATTGGCATTATCCCATTTAAAAAATCTGCAAAAGACAAAGCATGGATCAATGAATTGGACGTATGATCGTTTGTTTAATTGTCATTTGCCAACATATCCGTGCAATATTTCGCTTCCAATTGTTTCACTTTCACCATCCATTTCATTGTATATTATAATTAAAGTCACATATATCAGTATTAGAGCACTAGTAATACCAGCAACGCCCCACGGCGTGAGGGGGCGTTTAACGCCCCGCCGGCGTGAAACACCGCCCCCCTCCGAGCGTGATCGGGCGTGATCGCCCTTGCGTCAAACGAATGACGCGGCGTCATTCGAAACCCCTCCCCTTCCCAACGGCTTTATAGCCGTTTATCCCATTTTTTTAAAAAAAAAAAATTTCTTATAAATTCAAACACCCCCTCCCAATCTCTCACACTTTCTCTTCTCAATCTCTTCTTCTTCCCATTTTAAAATTCGAAATTACCCTCTTTCTATTCAACATGAATCCTTCCGGCTCCGGCTTCGTTCTCGACGATCTCCCGCCGAGTGACGCCGCGATGTGGTTCTACCAAGAGTGGGGCGATCGACCGCCGACATACGAGACGCAACAATCGGGGTACGTCGACCGAGATTCGGTTCCAGAGACTCAACCGGAACCGTCCGGATCGAAAAAAAGTACACGCCGGAGGAGCCACAAAGCCAAAAGCACGTTGACCGAGGCGGCACGGTCAATCCAAAAGTGGACGCCGGAATAGGAGTGCATATTGGCGTCGGCTTGGGTTGACGTCTCCGAGCATCCTATCATTGGTAAAAAATTTATTTTTTCTAATATATTTATGTTTTTATTTATATATATTATATTTAATGGTGTCTAAACAAATTGTGTAATACATTTTTAAAGGTACGGAGCAAACGAATGATGCGATGTGGGATCGTATCGAGGAGAAGTTCTTCACGGCGATGAAGAAGGACGACTCATACCGAACCCGGGACCAACTCACTTCCAAATGGAGCCACATCAACAAAAAAGTATGAAAGTTTATGGGAGTATACGAGGAATGCTCCCGGTCCCGGAGGAGCGGCATGAACGACGCCGATGTTCTCCGGCTTGCCACGACCCGGTATCAAGACGACGGGAACCAAGGCAAGGTGCCCATCGATCTTTGGGGGATTTTGAGTCGTTCCCCGAAGTGGCAACAACTCAACAATCCCGACGACGGATCATTGCGGAAAAGATCCACCGTCGACGCCGAGGTTGAGATCGACGAGACTATCGGTTCTACCGATCAAATCCCTCCCTTCAACGTTGCGGATTCCGATGACGAGGACCCCATTCCACGGTCGATCGGAAGAAAGAAGGCAAAATCCATTGCCTCTGGTTCGGGAGGGTCCGCCTCTGTTTCCGCTTCTCCCCGCGACGAAATCGGCGGGGCAATGATTGAACAACTTCGGGCGTTCAATCTCCAAAAACAAGAGAGGTTGAAGCTAAAGGAGAAGGAGTTGAAGCTAAAGGAGCAGGAAGCCGAGATGAAAGTCATGCAAACCGACCCCGGGACGTTGTCGGAGTTTGGACGATTGATCTATGAGCAAAGAATGAGAGAGATCAAGGAGAAATATAATTTACCTTAGTTTTTTTAATTAATGTATCTTTTTTTAAATTATTGACGCTTTTTTTTATTTAATGAATGTATTTTTTTATTATTCGTGTTTCAATTTAATTAAATAATAAATTAATTACATTTTAGTAATTTAATTTTAAAGGATGTATATTTAAAAATGTAAAAAATGAAGGTTTGAAGCCCAGTTTTGAAGCCCCGGGGCTTCAAACCCATTTCCAGTGAATTTTGGGTGTAAGTTAAAGCTGACGTGGCAGAGAGAGAAAGTTTGAAGCCCCGGGGCTTCATAACCATTACTAGTGCTCTTAGTGTTGATTAATCACCACTATATGAATGACCCATGCTTTCTGATTGATGGTTTGATGTGATCTTTTTAATTTGATTAGCCTCTCTTTTTTTAATTCATGAGAACTAATTTCCACTCTTCCAAATTAGATTACACAGTTTAAAAAACGTAAAAATCTTGTATTTTTTAAAATTTAATTTATTTATAAATTGATATAAAAAATTGCAACTTATATATTTAAAAATGATATCTAAAGTTTTATAAAATAAATGATGATGATATTTTATTTTATCAAATTGTCAATAGAAATATGGAGACAAATAAAAGTTATATCAGAATAGTAACTCGTGTAATCTATTTTGGAACGGAGGAGGTATATATATACCTCGTAATCCGTATATAAGAATTCTAAAGATCAAATCGTACTCCGTAGATAATAATGAAAATTTGTATCTCTCATACAATTTACAAAAAGAAAACGAGAATCTAATTTAGAGACGTACAAAATATTTGGATAGAAGCTCCGAGTTGTCTCTTCCAAAAATGGACGAGCTCGATTTCTGAAGAAAGCCTGATAAAATGTGAATTCTGCACCCAATACTTACAGAATAGTAGGAGGGGTAAATTGAGCTATAATCAAATTGTAGTTGGCAAATTATAAAGCATGCACCTGATACTTGCAGAGATTTTATGTTTATCATAATTATTTTCTAACGTAATTATCTGGAATCAAATTGGGGTTCACTCCTTTGACACCCTTACTTAACCAATTCAACTACGTCCACCGACCCAAATTATCTCTTAAATCATCGTAAGTTGAAATACTTCCCAATCACCTATTAGTCTATGTCACCGTTTGGTATCAGCGTTGGAGATTAGCGTTGGCGTTTTAAAAAGGTCATCCCTCGATAACTTTTAATGTTAGCGTTTTCAGAATTAATCTGTATCATTAAAATTTTATCCAAAATGCTAACGCTAATTGAAAACGATATTCCCAAACAAAACATATGACTCAAATAAGAGAAAGTGAGTAACAAACCCAAAAAGTGCTTTCGACTAAGTAGGCCGATAGTTACACATGGGTTCTGGGAGCAATTGAGCACAGCAATGAAGTTGGGCTTAGGTAGGCCTGCTGGTCAGGATTGGATGATGCCACAGCTTTTTGGGCCAACACTTTAACCACTCCGATGGCCCTATTCAATACCATGCGTTTTAGATGTTAATGGGATTATTATGGAGTAGTTTATTGGCTTTGAGTTTATTTTGGGATGCTTCTTTAGCATTTATTTTACCATAAACATTTTTGAATTATTTTTAATAAAATAAAAATTTATGTGAGAATGTCCGCGTGAATCCTGTAGATATTAGATTTATGATAACACTTCTTATAATAATGCAACGACAAAAGCGATGTTTGACTTTGACAAAGATACATCTTTAAGAAGCATTGACGTTAATTTTTACTGCTGCCTTCGTTTCAAATTAAACTTCCCGCTTTGACAATAAATCTCAGCAAATTGCCTGATAATCCAAGCTCTTAATCTGATAAATCGTAGTTCAAGTTTTGTGATAAAATTCGTGGTCTGCAAACACAAAATGTTTAAAATGATATTGCACAACCCTTCGCAACGATCCTCGGTTCCGAATTGGTTCTAAGATTTAAGAAGAAAAAAAACGAAAATATTTCTCTCTAATTGTTCTCCCCAAAACGAGGGAAATATTGTTTTTCCTGCATCAACGCTCTTGATTTAAGCTTTATCTTTTTTTTTCTTTCTGCTTTTCTTTCCTTGGTTTTTCTTATTTAACCAAACAAAAGAATTATTGTTCGTTTCATTTTCTTTTCTTTGTGTTAAGTTTTAAGGCTTTTACTTTGCAAGTACTCTAGAGACAGTTTTTGTTTGTTTAATTTCTTCCAAGTTGTTTTTCTTTTTTACTTTTTACCAAAAAAAAAAGAAAGAAAACTGCTCCTTTGCACCGGAGGATTTTACTCCGTAATTAAATCATTAATTACTTGCGATAATGCCTCAATTTAACAAGTGAATTTCATGGAATTGGGGGGCAAATGGCCATTGTATTCTTCCCACATGATGTAGGAGTGCCTTTTTATTACTGTATTTTTTAAATGCTTTTTTTTTCAGTATAAAAAGAATTGAAATCTGAAAAAGTTGGGAAACATAAGACATAAATGATGGAGGAACTAGTGGTTGTTGACCAAGTTATTGAACCCCAATTCACTTAAATATATTGTTTTATTCATGTAAAAAAATTACTTTTTTTATCTTATCTTAAAAAATCACTTTTTTTATGTTTTACAATGATACAAAATGTCACTGTAACTTTTTTTATTGAACTAACATTTTGTATCAAAATAAATCATTAAAATGTTAGTACTCTCCTTTGGGGTATAATTTGAGATGTTTTTTGATGTACTCCTAACACAATTGTAAAAAAAATTAAATAAAGAAGAATTTGATGGGAGAGAATTAATATACATGGAAATATGGGGGCATATAATTATCTTCACCACCATCATGACTTCACTTTGATTTAACATGGGAATTGTCTGGATGCTCCATTAAAACTATACACTCTTTGTGTTGGATTTTTGGTGGTAAAAGATCACATGTTGGAATATTAAATCAAAGAAAATTTGACTTTAAGTTTTGAAGTGATGACGGAACAATTACATACAAATCTTTTAATACTCCTATTAATTAAGTGTCATGTGAGATTAGGTCCTAGTACACCTTTTTATTTAAAAATGTCTAATTCGATTGATCTCGTAAGGTAGATGAGAACAAAATGCTCACCAATTTAATTATCCCAAAATAATCCTAAAATTTTGAAACGATCCCCGAAATTTCTCAAAAAAAAAAATTAAATAAAAAAACGCAAAAAAAAAAAAAATGACTTCGTGATGACGTCTACTGTCCCTCCAGAATGCACGACCGGCTAACATACCGAATAGGTTGCTATAGTGTGAAAGTGTCAGCACGAATAGCTCCAAAGATGATTGGACGGTAGTGATCGATTTCAACCGAAGATTGCGGGAATATCCCAACATCTTCGACTGAGCACTACGCGCCAAAGGAGATGTTATCAGCACAAGATGACAAGGGAGTAGGACAAATCACTACGGACAAAAACGAAGTCACCTCGCGCTGTCTAGAAACGTGGGCTGATGCGGACGCGCGGCGTTCTGTCCCCCCATCTTCCTATAAATACCTTTGTAATGCTCAAATTAAGGGATGCGAACTTTATTTCTCTAGAACATATTGTGTAATACATCCGAGTACTCTTCTATATACTTAATAACAATTGGACTACATGTGTTTCCACCTACAGTCATCCCGGCCAGTCCTTGTTTTCTGCGCTTTCTCATTCTCTAAGCTCAACAAACTATTTTAGACACGGTATAGTAGAGTTTGCATGAATGGTTAATTTACACCATCATTTTTTTTAAATTTCTCTAAATATTATCAAAATCCATATTACGGATCCTAACTATTTGCAATTATTTACAAAACCCTGAACAAGTTTCAGGAACGACCGAACGATGCTAGTTTAGAGTGTTTTTCAATCAAGTTGTTTTTTATTTTCAAATTCATGCTGTATCGTTCTTATTTCCTTTTTTCCTCACATTTTGTCAATGTAATTTTGAATTTTAATTTTAATGAAATATTTATTTAATGGTTTTATTTTAAGTTATTTTTCATTTAAACATATTAAAAAAACTGGGCGTGATAAACATGATCCACACCCTTACAATGTGATGTGATAGAAAAGAGAAAAACTGAAATGACACCACTGAATGGGATAATGTGAGGTCTTAAAAGATTTGAATCAATGAATGAATGAAATTGGTTGGAGGTGACTATATAGGAAGGGGTAAATTGTGGTTTCCAAAAGTACACTCTCCACTATGGGAAACAATCAAAGCGTACATTTCGGGTTGGGATTGTGAGTTGTGACGATTCCCCATTCAAAGTGTGACTCCCACATTCAATTATGAATTAATACTCCATCACCTAAAAGTTTTGATTTGCACGTTCCATTATTCCACTACTATTCTATACAACACATGATGCTAGTACATAAATTGGGTGTTTGCCCATTATTTTTCTAGTAAATCGTACTCCATTGATAGGAAATCTGGTCACAAAATTGTTGTCAAAAGAATTACCAAGTATTTCAAAAAAAAAAATCAATTTCAGTGGGTGCTTGAGTTCATATTGGAATGTTTTTTATATTATTAACCTAAAACTCGTGATCATAGTGATATATTTTTATTTTTGTAGTTACACATGTTTTAGGTTTTGTTGATTAGCAACTATAGTCTATAGCATAGGACCATGTGATTGCAGTATATATGTTGAGCATATATACTCCGTATTAAAGTGTAAAGAAAAAGAGGAACATAAATTGCACAAATTGAGTGAGTTTCAACGTTGTAATACTTTTTTTCTTTTTCCCCTTCTTTTCATTACATCCATATCCATTTTAACTATATCGAACCTAATGATGGTAAATAGAGAATTTTATCTTTAAAAATACAAAATAGAGATATTAGATGTAAGTCAATCATTAAGGATAACAACAACAACAACCCAGTTAAATCCCACAACAGTAGGGTCTGGGGAGGGTGTGTGTATGCAGACCTTGCCCCTACTCGGAAGTAGGGAGGCTATTTCCAAGAGACAATCATTAAGGATACAACTCTTAATTTAACATAAAAAAAGTAAATTTTCTCTCACCTTTTCTCTAAAAATATATATAACTTTTTATTCAATTCTAAACTCCATAATAATTTTATATAAATTGAATTAAAGTTGATCTGCTAATTCAAGTGAATTGAATTAGTGCAATAGAATAGTCGAATAAGTTATGCTAAATTGACATCACGAATGTCACACAGACAATCACATATTCACACTATATAAACACCACTTAGACGCCCATATGAGGGAATTTACTTACTTGTTAGATTTGGGCTTGTCTTGCATCGGTGAATTACGGCCCAATTGAGGACTCTTTTTTTGGTCTTAAGAGCAAATTGGGTTTGGGCCTGCTTGGTTGCGTTGTTATTTGTCCACAATTGTCTCGGTTTCATTTATCTATGTCATGAATGTGCTAAAACCTTTTTTTTGGTATTTTGACCATATCTTAAGCAAAACACCAATTAAAAATGATGTGGGGAGACTGTGGGTTTGAAATAAACCTATGTGATGAACATTAGCATTTTGAATAATTTATCAATGGTAAAAAGTAGCTAAATCATATTCTAGTTTTGGACCCTTAATTGCAAGCTTCTGGTCTCATTTGGAAAAAAATGTTTTGAATTAGCAATGGCATTTTGAAAAAGCCTAACAATTGCATTTAAGTTTGGTGTGATGAAAGTTAATTTGGTACATGAAAGTTAGTTTGGTAAAAAAATATTCTAAATTCAAAAAAATATTTTTTTAAACTAAATACCTTAAGGCCCCGTTTGGTACATGGAATTCAAACTATGGAATTGGAATTAAGGACTTCAATTCCAATTCTGGTGTTTGACATCACAAAAATAATGTGATATCAAATTATGGTCTTTGAAGTTGGCAGAATTCAATTCTATGGAATTGAATCCCATGAAATTAAATTCCAATTCAATTCCAATTCCATCAATTCCGTATACCAAACGGACCCTAAGAAATGTTTCATGTAAACCACACCTACACAACATCCCAAAATTTGGACTATAAAGACACACCACCTTATTATATCTTCTATACATTGCACGTATACATTGATAAAACTAGTCCCTATAGTTCAAATACATTGATGAATCGGGCATTGATAGTCTACCTAATACATTGATAAATGGGGCAATACCAGTCCACCAAGCCAAACCAATGGTTGTTTGGTCCCAACCAGCTAAGGTATTAAAGAGCCAACTTCCATAACACATTTATTTTAGCAAAGAAACTTTTAGAGCAAAAACAATCCACAAACTGGCCCTTAGCCGCCTATTCAATATAGACAAACTCAATTTGGCTAAAACTGCTTTCATGTGCTCAAACCAAAACTAAAAATTGACAGAGTTCAAAGTTTTCACCTGGGTTTCCAACTTGTTTTTAGCTTTTCAGATGTATCTGAATAATCACACCCAAAACCAAATACTCCGTATATGAATAAAATCATATGGAGTAGAAATGATTTAAATTGAATGGGTACCAAGAATATACACACATAAACGCATACTTTGCTGTCAATTGTTTTTCCTGTGATTTGTGACCAGAATTACAGACATATAGGAGCAAAATTTCCACATCCCATATACATTTCTAACCTCTCTATCTGTGTTATCATCTATGGATAGCAATGAAAAAAGTCCTCAATTGTAACACTAATCCAAATTTTTTGGATATATACCCCATCCCACACACAAAAAATGCAGCATAAGTAGGATACCTGAAGTGGGAATGAGGCATCATGATTTACATTCTTGGGCAGTGCATTACATGTTTGCCCACCCCACCTCGGACGACTAAAAAAATGAAAACATCAATGTGTTCAATGGTAAACTCATTCTGAGAACTCCGGAGATCGGTTCCTGTATTAAAAAAAATCAAGTGGAGATTTAGTAATTGATCTTAGAAGGTGTTGGTAAAAACATTTAAACAGAAAACTCATAAACAAGTGTCATATGCTGGTAGATTATTGAGGTACTCAAGAATTAAAGGTGAGAGGTATGACTAAACACAGTTGCAAAGAATTGTGAGTCGTGTCATCCTGGTAAACAACTTCAACAATCCTTTTCACAAAGAACTAATACAGACTGAGTCCCTATTGGTCAGAGACGCTCGGGGCTCATATCCTGTCACATCTACCATAGGGTTTTGGATTTTCATCTTTATTGATGCAACAACAGCAACCACAATGCATTACCACAAGTGAGGTTGCGGGTGGGTATGAGTTGTATTATGCCAAACAAAAATTTTACCTCTACCCGTGAGGGGCGAAGAGGTTGTTTCCGAAAGACTCTCTGCTCAAAAGGAAAACAAGGGTTACCAAGAAGATAGGCAGATAAAAAAAAAGCTGGGAACAGAGCGACAAGCAAGTTGCAAAAGGCATCACACCTAAATCTACAAAAGGAGGAAACATCTACCCAAGTCTCCAAGAGAAGGAAACCTCTATGCAAGATGGAAGGGTTACATAATCTACTAACTTTGAATCCTAATCTTCAACGGCCAAAACGTCTTATCTAAGGTAATGTATTTGGTAAGCTTGAGTTGAACCATGGCATGTCTAATAACCTCCCCTAATTTTTCTTCGACCTCTCTCTACCTCTCCTAAATCCTTACTCCTGTGATCCTCAAACTCTCACATATCTTAACTGGCACATTCTCATCTCTCTGCTTCACATGACCAAACCATCACAACCTCACCTTCATCATCATAGCCACCACGCATGCCATTCCACCCTTGTCCCGTATAACTTTGTTGGTATCTTACTTCGCCTCATATGTCATATGACCGCACATCCATCTGAGCCTTCTCATCTCTGCCACCTTCATTTGATGAATGTGAGCATATCTAACTAGCAAGCATTTCGTCCCATACAACAGTACAATGCACATCTTACCACCACTCTGTAGGACTTACCTTTCAGTCTATGTGACACCTCATATTTATTGAAGATGTTCTTATATACACATTGTTAGTTTTAGTGAAAGAATGGGTTGAACAATTTCATCTCTATAAGTATTTGTGTGGAAATTTAAACTTGATTACAAGGTCACTTAATGTAAAAATCAACATGTAGCGGACTCTGCCTCACACTCCATTGCAATCCTTCCATCATAATGAAGTTCCAGATTACGTCTTTTTTCTAGCCATGAGTTGTTTCCTTTACCATTTAGTATCTTTAAATGGGTCCACTTTGTACATGATACGACACAACAGGTGGATGTCCCCGTCTGCAAGGTCTATCATATGTGTCTGTCTAATAATCACACCTTTAAACGGAATGTCTCTGTTATTCTCCAATATTAAGAAGACATCTTATCTCCTCTGATGTAACTCTTTTATTAAGTCTGCAGTTTACCACATACCTTCTTCATATACTTCTTTTCTATATGACTTTGTTCCATATCTCCAACCGCTTTTCACTGAAGCTCCTATTGGTCTACCTTAGATACCACTTGAAGTCCAGCATGTCATTCCACCCATCTCCAATCCAGACGGTCAAACTGACTCCCAATCCACAGTTCCTTCCACATCAACTCGTGCATTATAGGTTTACCAGTTTGTCCATGCCTTGCCTTTATTGGGAATCCCAAATTTGCATATGTAAATTCCATTGTTACAGATCAAGCACCACAACCCACAAGTTATCCTAGAGACTCAGCAATCAGCATACTAATGTGATTTACTCATTATAGAAAGGCGATGGTCCACTCAAAGCCATCACCCATACATAATTTCCTCAGTTATCATCGTGTTTTCACTCCTTACTATCCATTTCTTTTGCACAATCGGTCCAAATGTCGACCTCCTTACACGGCAGGGGAGCCACTTCTTATTGATAGAGAGAAATTTAGACGAATGATTGACAGATTGATTTATCTCATGATTACAAGGCCAAATATTTCATGATAAGTTGTGTGGTGGTTATTGGGATGCTACTGTTTGAGTTCTAAGGTGTAAGGTCGTTCAAGAAAACGCAAGGGGGGGATTACTTTATGGGAACAACGATCATAGCAATATTGTAGTATGTTGTGATGATGAGTGGACTAGTTGTTTGATTGATAGACAATCCACATATGAGTATTGCATCTTGATTGGTGAAAAGGTAGTTTTTTAGAAAAGCAAGAAACAAGATGTGAAGGTAAGAACTCAGATGTGCTTGGAGCAGAATACCATTCAATGGTTATTGCATGTGAGATCCTAAATCTGAAACACCTTCTCAAAAAGTAACATATGGGAGAAATGAACTAGTGTAGTTGATGTGATCACGCAGTGATACATATCACATAAAATCCTGTATATCATGGGAGCACCAAGGTCACCATGCACTTTGAAGTTGATTGCACTTTAGCAAAGAGAAGATTGTAGTCAGACATATTGTCACTATCTATGTCAGCACAAGTACTCAACTTTCAGGCCTCTTGACCAAATCATTAAGGAAGTCCTAAAATAAGTACATTTGTAAACAACTAACAAGTTCGGAGCATCTGATTTGTACACTCCAACTTGAGGGGAGTGTTGAAAAATGAACATTAACATTGAAAAGGTTTGACAATGTTGTCTTCCATAACCCTTATGATGTACTCGGGTACTCTGTAAGAGCTGTAATATGGGTGATGTAATTGTATTGCTTTTGTAGTTGTAGTTAGCTATAAAGAGGGTTGTAAATGTGTTTTTGGAACTAGACAAACGTAAAACACTAATGTTTCACACTAACTAGTAGCAATCGGCTGACAACAGTCACCCTATATATAAATGCATGCATAGGAGAGAGCAGTAAAGAAAATAATGAATATATTCAAGACAAAATTAGGGAGTCACAGTTACGATTAGGATGTTGATGACTTGGCTTTCCAGATTCAAGTAGACTTAACTCCATATCATGGGTGGCAGACCAACCAGGTTCATACGTCTCAAGAAATCCAATCTTTGCCTTGTTTGGAAGATCGTGTGGATGAGCAAATGGAACTCCTTGTGGCCACCCTATCTCCATCCTAACCGAAGCACATGGACTGTCAATGGATTGAATATGGCTCTCACAATCCTTCAAGTTGCAGAATTTCATCTTTATGCCCTTCTTATCGGCAATATCCTGAACCCTTTCCTTGAGGACTCTCTGTGCCTCAAGCCGTAACCTCTTTGAAGGAGGAAGTACTTTGGACCTTGAGTTGTTCTTCCTTCTTATCTCAGGTATCTTCATAGATCCTGTAACCAGCATTTCATTGATCCACCAAGGTCCGATTGTTAAAAGCTTCTCACGGGAGAATATTAAAGAATCAAAAGGGTTTCAAATTCATAATTTTTTTTACTAAACTCATAAAACTGTTATTCTTTGCATTTCAATTTTCTCCGTGTCAAATATGATTCATTACTCTTTTTTTCTCAAAATGAGGTGTACCCTCAAGTGTTCATATCTGCATTATATTACCTTTGTTATGACAAAAACAACAACAACTTCAAAGCTACAAAATCTAAAACCAAAGCTACAAATTTCTGGTAATAAGGACAAGTAGACACATTTATGTTTCAATTTTGAAGTGGGGCGTTTAGATCTTAGGCCACAAAATTAACTGCTTCTGACTTGAGAAACATATGAGATCATCTAAAACACCTCAAACTGGAGCACATTGGTTTAAGTTAGGAACCATGTTCAAGTCCTAATCGGCATGGAGGGCATTCATGTGATTCAGTCAAAGTATCCAACATGACCTTCTATCTTATTTGGGATATTAATGATATGGTGTTGACCCAATAAAACATGGATTCTATGGGTACAGACCAGATACATCCATTTTAGAAACAAAATCAAGGGGACATCAGTTAATCCAATTTTCAGTCCTACAACTACCACTACTAAATAAAATGAATAAGTGAAGATCTGCTACCTACCATCTTGTGTGGCGGGGAAATTGAATGTGTGGAAGTTGTTCCTATTGAGAAGTTGATCTGTTGATCTCTGCATGAAGTCATCAACAGGCACAGGGAGTTGAAATTGGGCTTCAACACCATAACCAGCAGCTCGCATCTCTGAGCAATTCAGACTGGCGATGGATTTAGGCATGAGTTTAAAAGATAGCGAACATCTTCCTCCATACATATGGCCCTGAAGATTCCCAATATCTGTCCTATGAACAGCAGTGCTGATATTGCCTGCAGTTGCCTGGTATAAAGCAAGTCCTGTGTAAATTATTGCTTCCTGGGGTCCAAGATCACCATCCACAAGAACCCAACGACCATGAAAATCTCTCACATGTAATCCCGGCTTATCTGCCTTGACAATAGTTAAAAGGCTTCTATCAACCTGATGCTCGTCGTGATCTGAGAACATCACCAACTGACCATCCTCTTGAGCTGCCAGATTATGGTGTCGAGCACTCTGAAAAGATGGCCTTCCATGACACGAAACAGATAACACAGAAGAAGATATCTCCCGATTCCTCAAGGGTACATTATCAAGAATTTCAGTAAAAGGTGAGCTGCGTAGGTTTAAAAAGAAACTAATGGCATCAAGTATGCATCTAGCAGTTTTTCCAAGTAATGCAAATACATCCATTAGACCAGCAGGTGGGAATTCAACCCCATCATTGGGCTCTGTGGGAGTTAGTCCTGGTCTAAAATCGTACACTTCTTGCCACAGTTGAGGATCTGAATGGTAGCCAGAGGTCTTACACCACTCCCGGGAACCATCATCGTGAATCACATCATCCGTAGAAGGGTACGAACTCTTTTGGTGAAAGTACAATCGGGCCGACTCAAGACAAGACCCTAAAAGAGCACCATCACTGGTAGGCAGCTTGATAATGGCGGCCGAGTATTGAGCCAGTGATTGGGACAAAGTACTAGCTGATAATTTGTATGAATCAGAAGGAAGGCCTTCTGATGGAATTAGGTCAACAAGCATGACACGGCCCAGAGCTGGCAGGTCATTGCCTGCCATGGAAGTTTACTTATGCAATTCTTCACAGATGGCAAAATCAAACAAATAGCATGTAGTAAAAGGCATAGGACGTTCTTCTACACTTGTATAAGGAGCTATGAAAATCCACAAACACTCCAAACCTGGGGGAAATCAGGCGTCGGAAAATCCAATACGAGGTCTTATACAGAAGAGGCTTCGTTCGGGGTGAAGTGGTGGCGAAATGCGGAGCAGCGAATGTAGCTCGGCGACGGAGTACGGCGTCCGGATATCTGTTTGGAAGATACGAATTCGGCGATGATGAGTTGCAGTGACTTGATAAACTTTGGATAGCTTTTGTTTCTACCTGCAGAGCGGCGGCGGCGGCGGCGATTGATAGAGGCGAGGGTGGATGTTTGAGCTCGTGAAGTACGCCGTCGTCAGATGCTCCGAGCTCCGATCGGTTTAGTAGCGGTCATTGGCATTTGTTTCGGACGGACAGTTTTTTTTTGTTTTTTGAATAAGATTTTTTTTTGCAGCAGATATTTTTTCTTTTGTTTATCTTATTAATATTCTTCACTATTAAAGTTGTTATTATATTTATTATTACTGTGAACATTATCTTTTTGAAATTATTAATAATCTGATAATGTATGAACTGAAAAAAATTCTATGTTTAAAAGTTAGACTCGTTGTCTTTTATTCTTTATATTTATATTTTTTAAAAATTTGAAATCAATATCTTTTTAACAAAGTTGTACTTTTTTATACAAAGTTATGCTTTTATTTTAATATTTTTTGAACATAGTAAGATATTGTACCATTTCGTTTCAAAACAGAATAATATCGAATGATTTCAGGGTTAATTCCGTACCGATATCGAACCGTTAAAATAAAAGTAGTCCGTAATACTCTGGTAGTGAGTATTATTTCTTGCAAGAATGAGATTATTTCTTGCAAAATTAGATTCCGTACTGCATCCACCACTACTTTTAAGAATAAGATTATTTCTTGCAAAATTTAAAATTCCTTGCAAGTTGCAACTATCAAATGTAATATTATTATTAGCATCATGCTAAATTGACGAATTATTCGGTGCAAATATTTTCTATATACGCCAATATTTATAAGTTGGTTTACGGTATTTAATTAATTTTTTTTAAATATAATTTATTTAATATTTTGTTTAAAAAACAAAGTATATAGTGAGTATTTAAAAAATACATCTAACCTTTTACAAAATAAAATGTGACGTAACTTTTTTATTTTATTATATATAGGAAGCGAGAGAGATTAGAGTTTCATTTACAAATTCACATTCCGTAGTTAATTGTTCGATCGAGACTAATAAGAGCTTAGGACGTGATTCAACTTTTTTCCTCATGTATTTTTCATTGCACTCGTTGTATTTTGCAAAAATTGTTTTTTTGTACATGAAAAATAATAATATTCCTTAATCTGAAATGCATTCATTAAAATAAATGATAATAATAATAATACTCCGTAATAAATTAATAATTTATATCAACAAAGATTTGAATGAAAATAATATAATAATACATTAAAATATTTTTTTTTAAATTTTTATATTTTTTCATTTTTTTAATTTCTTGCCGTTTCTCTCAAAATCCCAACTTTTTTTAGTCCTAAAGAAAGAAGCTAGTTTTGTTAATTTTCGTTGTTCGGTGACGAATGGTTATCCGTGAATTTACACGGGCTGAATTTCATTTCTCCAGAGCTCAATATTGATTTTTCCTTTTCCTTTTTCCCCTTCTTCCCACGGATGAATTCCACGTCTACTTAACGTACTCCGTACAGATATTGGCTCATCAGAAACCCTAGAATTTATCGGCGAGGGGGTTCTATCATCCCCAGAGTCTCTGTCCGTCTGGTTTCAGCCTTGGCATCGTTCACTTTTTATCGGATTCCGATCTCTTATTTTCATTTCTGTTCTTTGATTTCAATCTCGCACCAAGTTCGGTTGTTAAGGATGGAGGTTTCTTTTGTTCGCGTCTTTTGAACTTTTACGAGGGGTTTGCTTAGTTTTTGAGGAAGGTTTTGGCGCTCTGTAAATTTGGAATAGGAAAAGTTCAGTACAGTTTGTTTTCTGGATATAACTTCTGAGGTTTAGTTGCGTTGAAGAGCAGAACATGGACGGGTTTAATGGTCCGGGTGGTCTTGAACGCATGAATAATCATCAAGATCTCAAGCAAGTTGATTCAAATTCACAAGGTGCTCTATCTCTCCGCTTGCCTTTTTGAGTGAATTTTTACTCCATCCAACAATTCAACATGGTGTGTGATTCTGTTGTATTGTGATGTGCTCCGTATGGTATATTCTAGAAGCCATATGATTTCAAGAGTTGCAAGTACTCATTTTATATTTGTTCGTGGAATGTATACTTTGGGAGAGATACCTCTTTGCTAAGGCATCTTTTATTGGATGATATAATAGTCAACCCTTTGATTCTTGTTTTTGTTTTTGGTTTCATGGAAAGTTATGTTGTAGCTTTGAATACACTTTGAAGTCCATGAGTGATTTGCTTAGTGTAGTTCTTTCACAGTTGTGTAATATGTTTTGGGTGTTAAATATCTGTTCTTTGGGTGTAGGAAATGATCTATTTGATGCATCACAGTATGCATTCTTTGGCAATAATGTACTTGAAGAGGTTGAATTGGGGGGTTTAGAAGATGAAGATGAAGATCTTCCTCCACCCGGGTTTGACAGTGAAGAGTATCCGTTGGACCAAGAAGAGGTTGCTTCCATAGCTCTCAAAGTCATCCATGTGTTTTTTTGCTCTTTAATGAGCAAGTTGTTGATTATATAACTGGACTACTCTAGCATTCACTCTAACGAGTCAATATTGAACTAAGGAATTACATGTTACTCCCTCTGTCCACCATAGATGTCCACCATAGATCTTCCCAGACACTATTCACAGGGTCAAACTTTACTCACTTTGTTTGGTCAATTTTACTAGTCATTTCATAAAATAATATAGTCTTGTCACCTCTAGTTTTGTAGAACTTTTCATGTACTTTATTACTATATAAATTTTATTTTAAAATTTTACTCCTATAATCAATTAAATTGAATTGAAAATAAAGTCGGTCAAGCTTCGTAACGCGTAATGGGAAGATCATACATGGACGGAGGGAGTATTTAAAATTGAATGACCTTGTATAAATTTGAACTCCAAGAGGCCAGAGTGTCATATATATCTTGTATTTAATTTCCAAAACCCGAAATGATCTCTTAAGCTCAATTGAATGCATAGTAATTAAATGCTTCTTTCTTGCAGGGAGATTTGTTAGCATCATATTCCGATGTTGATGATCTTACTAGCTCATTTTCAAAGGTAAACTTTCACACAAATAAATAAATAAATCTGATTCATCCGTCACTTGCATCATTTATAGTTTTCCTGCATAGTTCATAGCTGAACATATTATATTTTTCTGTTTGACAGTCTTGTTTTTCATATAGAAGTAATGTTAATTCTCTTACCAATGTATGGGAACTTTTGTCATCGTATGCCAACATTATTCATTCATCAGCCTTACTGCTCTCATTTGCATTTGAAGTGTTACTCATATATGATTGTGATACCTTATTACCCTCCTATACTTCTATGCTGCATTATTGACTTGACAACTTGTGTCATTGCAATGTTTGGAATATCATTGCACGATACACCATATTACTTGTCTCGTGTTCATTTTCAAGAAGAATGCCTTGTGGCCATATAGCCATAGGCCATATGGGTTTCTCAATTATGGAACAAAAAGGCGTACGCCATGAGGCATCCACAATGAGGCAGAACGTGGCATACAGTTTTCAAATAATATAATATAAAATGAGATTAAGGTTAAATTAGAATCTTAGAAAGATTTAAATGTTAAATTATGGAACCCTAGCCTCTCAATGCATCTAGCTCCTCTCTGGTCTTCATTGCTCTTCTATGTTCTTCATTTGTGACTTCATCCCTCTTCTTTAATGTGTATGTATTAATTGTGCTATTAATAATGTTCTATCATTGACTTCAATTATATTTTATGCGCGTCTTACTATCTTAGTACTTTAAATGAGTTATGCCTCAATACACCTTGAGGCTTACACAATATTCCATGGGGAAAAATGCCTTAAAACCGCAATATGCTATTTCAAACAAATTCATGCAAAAAAACTCAGTTACGTACTTGTTTGTGTTACTTGAGTCGGGGTAAAGTCTGCGTACACACACCTCCCTTAGACCCTACTCTCGTGGGATCCAACTGGGTTGTTATTGTTGTTGTTGGGTGCCCTCTTGCAAAAATCTTGTGAAGTACTGTTATTTATATGAATTTCTTGATTCTTTTTTTTATCTAACTTCTTCATTTCTCATGGAAAATATAATGATAAATAATTAAGTTTTTTTGGTAGTCATAACCAATGACAGTAATTTGATCAACATGGACATTATGAACATGACCATGATTTCATCCCTCTATTGCCCAAAAACTTTGGGTAATGGAAAATAGATAAAGCCATATTTTTTACTGTGGACAAGCACTTTTTTAAGACATCTCCATTTCTCATTCATACAATTTGCTCCAAATTCTTAAATCTTTTGAGTGTTGTTACAATTTGTTCATTTGCTATCTGGAGCTATTGTATTTTTCTGTTTATCACAATATATTTAATTTTAAAATTAGCAGTTGAACAAGGATGGAGTTAACCCTGCAACAGCATTTTTTGGAGATAGAGAATCCAGAGAAAGTGAGTTGTGCATCGATTGTTTAGATTTTTATTATACCAATTTACTCTTCTAATTTACTTGTATTTATAGATGTCAACGTGTTACTTTTGACTGCATAAGAATTGATTAGCAATTGTGCTGTTTTTTAATTTAAGAGTTGTTTGGTTAAGAACTCTGGAGTATTTTGACCCCAAAAAGCACTATATTAAGTAAATCACTGATACCATAAATTAGTCAAATCTTTGATGGGTTTTGGGCTTTTTATAACTTCCAAAATGCTCCCATAATTGTTTGGGTATAATGAACTGGATGCTACTTTATCCTGGACATTTTGTTTCATTTTGGATTGGGCCTATGGTTGAAATGTCGTAATGACTTCTTACCCATCTAATGGCCTACTCTTCATGATTTTGTTTGGGCCGAGACATGTAAATTTTTTTCAGGTATATTTACACCACTAAGTGATTTTATTGGTTCCCTACTTTTCCTCTAGACCATACATTTCAGTTAGAGCTGAACAAAAATTAAAAAACCACATCGGATCAACACCAAGCCAAAAAACTGAACCGATCAAATCTGAGACTGACCTATTCACTGGTGCCTAAATTATTTTCTCATCCTTTTCAGGGAAAAATATGGGATTGCTATTCTTCCTTTCCTTTTAAAATAATCTCAAACACATTTTCATTGCGTAAGTAATGATGGACCAAAGGAGTACTTTTGATGGCTTTATAATTGGGACACAACTCTCGTATAGTTAACAAATTTGCATGAATAGAAACTCAGATTCAAATTTTAGAAGTTCCTTCTTTTTTTTTTTTGAGAAGTTTAGAAGTTCCTTTACATCATTATTTATTTATGAAAAATCTATGCCACCTTAAAACCTTACCACTTACACAATGTTTGGTTCAAGGAATTTGAGAGAGAAAAGATAAGAAAATGAGGAAGGAAAACATTATTCTTGTTTGGTTAGAGAGGTAAAGAAGAGAAATAAAGGAAGGAAAAGAGAGTGAGAAGGCAAAATGTACTGAGGAAGGAAAACCAAATTCCTCCCATTTTGGTGAGGAAAATGAGGGAAAACTATTTGCTTTTCTTTTCTTCCAAATTCGTTGAACCAAACATAGTGTTAAAGTATTGTGAAAAGAAAGATCTCTCCTTCAAGCCAAATCTAGGGATTGGGATTCTTAAATTCATGGATTCAGTGCACTGTTAGTAGAATTGCTTTCACACATACTTTGAAAAGCGCACAAACTTTTAAGTTCAAGCTTTGTATTGCCTTTACACTTAGCCTTTGTTTGATTAAGGTGAAGTATTTGAAAATGAAATAATTGGGTAAGTTGTAGGAGAGAAATGGAGTTATATTTTGTTCCTTAAAAAGATAAATGGGGGAAGAGAGAATAGTGGTTTGCCACATCTTGCTATTTCTTCTCTTATACACTTAACTAAGTCAGGTTGGTTTCAGCTCTTCAAGTAACAGGTATACCAGACCAGCACATGTTTAGCTTGATAATTGGAACCCGATCGCTTTCAAAGTAATTCTTGGTTTTTTTATTCATAGTATGTTGGTTTATTCCTCCCCTTCCTGTTTTGCAGGCTCATCTGCTGCAAATTATGTCCAAGAGGAGGATTTTCCAGATTGGTTTGATCAGCATGGCTTTAACTTGGATGCTGAACGGAATGAGGATTGCAAAAGAGAGTTGCCACTACATCCTTATTCTTCTTTCCCTAATCGCATCGAATCTAGGCCTTTGTACAGAACACAGTCATACCCCGACCAAGAAGTTCAGCAGCAGCCACAACGTCTACCTACACACCATCATCACTACTCCAGCGAAGCACTTCTTATCCCCAAGTCTTCTTACACATCATTTCCTCCTCCTGGTGGTGCTCAGTTTTTTCAAGGCTCTCCAAACAACCTTTCCAGTACTGTGTACCGACCAGGTGCACACCCTGTTCCAGTTTCTTCACCCAACCTCTCTACATTTTCTTCAAGCTCCCGGAATCAAATGAATCCCATGCATCACGGATCACAATATGGTGGAGGAATCTTACCTCAGTTTTCACCAAACAGCCATCAAATTAATAATCACATTCAGAATCAACGAATGAACCAATTACCCCATCAAAACGGCATCTTGTCACAAAAGTTTCAAACCGGGATGCATCATCATCCGTTCCAATCGCCGTTTGGCAGTTCTGCTTTGCAGCCCCAACGGTTCAATCATAATCAACAACCACATCAGATGAACAGTTTTGAGTTGGCCAATTTCAAAGACCAAAGGGCCGAATCCATGCTGAGAGGTGGTAGATATGGTGGCATGGGAATGCGTAGCGGCTGGCCAATATTTAAGGCCAAATACATGTCGCCTGACGAAATTGAGAATATTCTTCGGATTCAGCTCGCGGCTACTCATAGCAATGATCCATACGTAGATGATTATTACCACCAGGCTTGCTTGGCAAAAAAATCTGCCGGTGCAAAGTTGAGACACCATTTTTGTCCGACTAATCTGAGGGATGGAAGTTCCCAAAACCGGGCTAACACTGAAGCACATGCATTTCTTCAAGTTGATGCGCTCGGTAGGGTTTCTTTCTCCTCAATTCGCAGGCCACGACCACTTCTTGAAGTGGACCCACCAAATTCATCTGCAAATAGTAGTAGCAGCGAACCAAAAGTGTCTGAGAAGCCCTTGGAAGAGGAGCCCATGCTTGTGGCCAGGGTCACGATTGAGGATGGGATTTGTCTCCTCCTTGACGTTGACGACATTGACCGCTTCCTACAGTTTAATCAATTCCCGGACAGAGTGGAGCATTTGAACAAAAAGAGGCAAGTTCTGCTGGAAGGCTTGGCATCATCGCTTCAGCTGGTGGACCCGGTCAGTAAAAAGGGTCAGTCCGTCAACATATCACCCAAAGACGACCTCATGTTCTTGAGGGTAGTCACCCTTCCAAAGGGAAGGAAGCTGTTATCCCGATACCTTCAGCTCATCTTTGCCAGCAGTGAACTCGGTCGGGTTGTCTGCATGGCCATCTTCCGGAATCTCAGGTTTTTGTTTAATGGCCTTCCTGCAGACATTGTGGCGGCTGAAACGACCAAAAACCTGGCAATGGCAGTCTCGTCTTGTGTAAGGGAAATGAATCTTACAGTGGTCTCAGCTTGTCTTGCATCCGTGGTTTGTTCAACCGAGCACCCTCCACTCCGTCCCATAGGAAGCCCATTAGGTGATGGGGCCTCTGTTGTCCTGAAATCTGTTCTGGACAGAGCGACTGAGCTACTAAGGGATCCTCAAGTGGACACGAAGTGCGACGCACAGAGCAGAATGTTCTGGCAGGCGTCCTTCAATGCCTTCTTTGACTTGGTCACAAAGTACTGTTTCAACAAGTACGACCAGTCTTTCGCGGCGGGGTCTGATGTCAGCAGCGAGATCCCGGTTGGCCTCTTGCACGCGAGCCTTCCTCACACTAGTGAACAACAGAGGAAACTGCTCATGGATTTCGCACAAAGGTCTATTCCGGTGCCAGGTGGAAATGTACGTATCGAATGACTAAGGGGCTTAAGAAGTTGTGTCCAAAATGTGTGACACAGGCTATATGGGGAATAAATGTGTGGCCAAACTCCATTCTCTCTCTACATGGAAAGGGTATTAGTAAAATAGTAGCACTAGTTTTTTTATTGTTGGGGTTTGCATGCCATATGTTTTTGAATGGAATTGGGAGCTTATTTTGATGCTCTTTTTTTGAATGTGTTTGTCTAAGTGGTAGTGATTTAGAAGGGGTATATATAAAAATATATCTTAGTATGCCCAAGTGGAAAGATGGAAATGGTTTTTTTTCCTTTTTACTTTGTAATCTTGAATGAATGCTACTGCTATACCAAAAAAAAGTTGCTGGTGTTTGATATGCTATGGTTTTTGCAAGCATTCCCTATTGTTTTTCAGACTGATAATAATGAGGCCTTGTTTGGTTCACCAACAAATGGATATTGGTTATATGAGTTTGGAATTTTCCCCTGTGCCATATTTTGTGTTTGGTTACAATAATTTAATTCCTCAAGCTCTATATTTAAGCTATGTTTTGTTCTTTGATGATTGTGTACTCTATATATTTTAGTTCTTCCCAATGTTGGATTATTAAATTTATTACTTGTCCATTTACTTTGATTTTACCCATTTGAACTAAAAGTGCATATCGAAGGGGTTATTCTGTCTAACTACTAATTTGGTAGATCTTTTGATGTTGTTTTTAAATTTGTAATATTTATTTTATAATTGTACACTATTTTTATATAAAATGATTTAAAAATAATTTCAGTCAAACATCGTAAATTGAAAAAAGTAATTTAAATTTGAGATCGAGAGAGTAATAAATTATTTTATTTTTAAATAAAAGGCTGAACACAAGTAAACGAAGTTAAAAAAGAACTTCGAAAGCATGAATCTCAAAAGATAAAATTATCGAATGTCTTAAAAAGAATGTCACAATTCGTTATTCAAAGATCACATTAGTTTTTGTTTATTTTTACTTTGTATATGTTTTTGTCGATTTTTTTATAGAATAAAATATGATTATCATATTTTTAAATATGTAAATTTTATTTTTATTTGTCTATTTTTCAATACAGAACTTATCATAGATAAAGTACGACCATGGCAAATTGCATTTGCTTTGTTCTGAACTCAGGCGGTGTAATGTCCGACGGTGCAACTGAAAACCGTCAGCCTCCGGACTCCGCAGCCGAGGACGAGCTACCATCCGACGCTACCAGCATCGTCGATGACAATGCTGGCGATAGCAATAGCTCCGCCTCAACTAGTTCTCCCATTGGTGAAGCCCTAACCGCCTTGCTCTCCTCCGTGATCAGGGAATTCGACGGCCGAGCTGACGCCACTTCCCGCAGTCAAGATCAACTCTCCTTGGCCCTCGATCGTCTCACCGGAGGTTTAATTTATTCCGTTCACTCTCCTCTCAGCAATTACTGCGCTTTTTTTAGCAATTCGTGCGAACTTGGCATTGCTTAGCAGCAGATAAATTTGAGCTTTTGTTTGTTTTTTATTTGGGCGTTTTAATTCGAATTCAGTGTTCTTCAAGTTTTTTTCCCCTTGAATTCCTTAGTCTTTATGTTGAAAAGAGAATTTTCGTGACCTAAAATATCACGGTGTGTTTGGATGGAGAGTAAGAGCGAATCAAACATTGATGTAATGGCTTGTTCAGTAGAGCTGAATGAAACTGAATTGACCTTAATGGTTCAGAACCAAAGTCAAGTGAATGATACTAAAATTAAATCAAATTGAACTGGCCCAAAATGAGAGAACTCACTTATATGGGACTTGAAGTTTTTCATGGTGTGTATTCGAACGAAAATGAATGGAAACAGGATGAAAATGTTAAAAAGTAGATCACACTCCTTTACACCGGATTTAAGAGGGAAAAAATAAGGGCGAAGGAGGGTAAAGAAGAGTTACTCTCACCGTCCACTTAATCTTTCGAACAAGAGTAAGGGGGAGTACCGACATTATGCACTCTCCCTTACCCCTTCACCCAAACAGATCCTAAGGGTTCTTTAACTTCAAGGTTTGAAAATGTGTGTTGGCAGAACTTGACAAGCTGCTGGAGGATGTACCATTGCCTTTCATCATGCAACATGCTGCTAGGATTTCTGGTGTTAGAAAGAGAGTCACGTCTTTAAATTCAGTTTTGAGGTCTATACAACGGCGTGTAGATAATATTGACCGGATGATTGTTCCCGTGGGTTTATTGCATGGTGCGTTTCCTGGTTTTCGACTTTTCTTTTTCATGTTTTCTGCATTGTGCTGAGGTTGATACAGCTTCAGGGTATATACATAAACTCCGGTAGTACCTTTAGCTAATATTCTAGCCCTCTTAAAAACTTCTATACCTCGTGGTGTAGAGACAAGGTCTGTGTACATCTTGCTTCATAGTCCCTACTCTTGGGTTGGATATACCGAGTACTAAGTTTGTTTAGTTGATGATTTGGCTGACATTGTTTTTGGGAATAAGGGAAGCCATGAACTAGATTTTCCCAAGCAGTTTAATTTTATTCAGATAGTGGTTTTGTCAGCAATGAATTGTATATCTCAGATGAATAGTGTCTATTGCACTAACGTAACATTGGTGGATGAAAATGGAACATTTTCATTTCAAGTTTCAATTGAGCTTTGCAGTAGACACTGGACACTAACGTGTTTCTCAGTTTGATTTCATATTCTGTTTTAGACAGGAAGTCCCGACTTTGATATGTTCGCCTTTTGGCACTGGTCACTATTTGGGCATGAATTTAGATGGGAAGTCCTGACTTTGATATGTTTGCCTTTTGAAAATTGGACAATGGTGCAATATGTGCACTTCCATTTTACATTTTCAGTTGAATATAATCTATTAGGGGGGAGGGGGGCGTATTTATGACGAGGATATAATTTAGTTTACATTTTTAACATGCAGAAAAAAATATCAAAGATGATGGGGGACAAAATTGAGACGTGTCAGTCATTGAAGAGGTAATGACAATTCTAGTGTTCATCGTATTAAGACTTTGGTTTCTATCCTAAACGGTCAACTAAGTACTCGAAAGCCTTGTATGTTTGTTTATATACTCCCTCCGTCCATAAAAGAACTTCCCGGTTTGACCGGACACGCAAATTTATGTGTAATGAAAATTGTATTGACTTTCTCATTATACCCCTCAACCTATTTGTCCTCTCCACCCGCCATAAGCCATCTACAGCAGTTGCTAATGCCGGCGGAGGTTCACCGCCGACCACTCTTCGACACCACTGTCCCCACCAGCTGCCGTCACAGACCTGCAATCCCCTCCATCCCAACCCCCTTCGGTCTTCACCGACTCTTCCCTACACACTACCCAATAACTACAACCTCCCTCCTTCCTGTGCGGGTTGAACGCCCACCGACGAACCTCCATCTACATCTTCCCCTTCATCTGGCATATTAAAAGAATAGATCTGAAAATTGTAAATACAAATCAGAAATAATGGAGAAGCTGTCGACGGAGATCTATTTCGATCTAAGGAATTTACCATTTGGATCGGATATGATGAAATTAACCAAAAAAAATTAGAGAGAAAGGGAGAAGATCGAGACAAAGGAGAGAAATAGAGAAGAATTTGAAGATTGAGAGGATTAATGAGAGAAGATGGTGAATAAATTACTCCGTAAGAAAGAGTGGTGGGGAGGATGAGAGAGAAACTTGCACGAGAAATGTGGATAGAGTGGGTTAATAGTTTAGGGTGATAAGGGTAGTAGTGTCTTTTTAAGATAAAAATTTTGCCATTAAAGGAAATGGGAAGTTTTTTTGTGGACAACCAAATATGGAAAGTGGGAAGTTCTTTTATGGACGGAGGGAGTATTATATTTGATCAATGTGAGATGACTTAAGATGTAGAGCAAACCAATATTGAAGTACTTATCAAATATGGAGTATGGACTTCTTAATCAAATGTGGACTTGTTTTCCTTCAACCATGATTGCAGAAATTATCCATTGTTTGTTCTTTAATAAAATGAAGTAACATGTAATGTTGTAGTGGTACATGTTGCATGTTGGCTTGCTCCACAAAGTGCACTGTTGAAATGGTTAGGCAAGGTACAACTACACCACAAAACAAATCCCACAAAAAATGAGGTTTCCAACTGTGTTGATCTTGCCCAACTATCTTAACTATGTACACTTCATTATGCAACATGCCCCATAATGTTTTCGGAGATTATCATGACATTTGGACTGTCCATTGCAATGTAACTAAATGAGCGACTATTGAGAATGTTTTAGCTTCAGACATAATGGGCAAAATGACACTCCGTATTAAACTCTCTTCTTCCTTTCTATGAAGTTTTGGGCAGTAAATGCACCAATGCATCTAGGGTCTAATGGAAACAACCTCTCAGTTTTTGGAAGGATAAGATTGCGCAGATTTTCACCCCCCCCCCCTCGGACTCCAATGGAGTTGGGATTATACTAGCTTCTTGTTGTTATTGTATTGTCATGAGATTTGGAAGTGCGTAAGAATTTTTCTAATTCATGATAAAATGATTTGTTTCAAATGACTATTATACAGAAACGGTAATATAATCAAGGACATACACTTACCCAACCCAATGCATATGCTTCAGTCGACTTCGGGTGAAGGAACAGTTACTATTTTCCTTTCACTGAGATCATTTCATTTCTCGTGTCAGGTTTTTACAGCACGTCGCTTCCTTGTGCTTGTGCTCTTGCTTTTGCTAGAGTTGCTAATGTGGCCATGGACAAAGGAGAGTTTGAATAATTATGAAGCTGACTTGCTGCTGCACAAGTAATGCCTAACTTACAACATGATAATAATGCTGCATCATTCTTGTTTGATTGAACTTGTTACATACCACTAAAAGTAATTAAAACGCATCCAACATGATAATAGTGCTGCATGATTCTTGTTTTTTTATCCCGTGTTTGACAGGAAACTTGACATATACTGCTAAACCTTTTTTTATACTCCCTCTGTTTCATAAAATGATTCTTATTTTGACTTTTAAATATTGCATATTTGTTGTTGACTTTCCCATTTTGCCCTTGATGTGATGGGTAAAAATAAGATGTGATGGATAGATTATTAGGATGTCAGGGTCTAATGGAACACAATAGGATCTAGGTGTTATATTATGCCATTAAAATATGTCAAAAAATCGTGGGATATTTTGCTACACGGTTTTAATTTTTTATACCTCTTTATATTCATATTGAAAAAAAACTTGTATAAACTAGAGAGGATGAAGTATTTCATTTATTGCCTCAATAAGTCGAGTGAATTAATTAGATTACACACAAGCGCCTAAGACATCATTTGTCTAGGTGACAATACTACCCAACATATATGATTAATGATAATGCATGAATGTTTATTCCTTGAAATACTCACTTGATTGGTATATATCAGAAAATTGTCCTTGGAATGGGAAAAAGATATACTGTATTTCATTTCCCACATTTTGGAATAAATATTCTGTCAATTTGTATGGACATTATTACCCATGCCTTTTAATGGTTGTCTCTTTTTAAGAGTGCATTTTTTTTGCATTCATCTTTTACTTGTTATTCTACTAGGTATTTCATTTTATTCTTTTCAACTAAATCACAAAATATAAAATCCTTTTAACAAAATTCATAAATTTTAAGCATGATTTTCATTAATTTTTTAAGCTTGGGACACCAAGGGGGGATATGATCTTTTCCATCCTCAAAAAATTGAGACACCTTTTATTGTCCATTCCAAAATTATTGTCATTCCCCTTTGAACAACAAACATGTGGCACTTCCTTCACCATATATGACACATGACATAAACATAGATATGGGACATGGCGACATAGTATCTCAAAATTAAGGACACGGGACACATGGAATACATATTTTGTGTGTGTGCATAGAGTTTGTCTATTGTTAAACCAGATTTCATGAAGTTCATAGATTCAAACATGAAGAATTGTAGGACAAAACGGTCATAGCAAAGTGGAAATGAGAGAAATTCTTGGTTTCTTATTAGTAAAACCGTCATATGATAACGATTTGACGAATGAAACAACTAGTAAAGTATAATCATAGCCAAGATTCTTATGTTTTGGTTTTGAAATAAGAATCTTTGAGGATGCGTATTTGAATTTCTAGACATTTATCTAACTGCCTGAATTAAATAGTGAAATGAGAGAATATAAGACCATATGGTATGGTGGCGTGACCATAGCGCCATCGTGCCGACGAGATGTGTCGCCTTTGTGGTGACCACTTTCTTGTACTATTTTTTATGCGTTTGAATTTCTAGACACATACTCAACTCTCTGACATTGATACAGTAAAATTATGTAGTGAAATCAGAGAATATAAGACCATGTGGTGTAGTGGTGTGACCACAGCGGCATCGCGCCGACGAGATGTGTCACCTTTGTGGTGACCACTTGTATTTTTTATTTGTGAAAGAAATGTGGCTCAGAAATATACCATTCTTTTTCTTATTTTTTAGTACTTTTCTTAAATTCATGAAACCAAACAACCATGTTTATTTTTGTGACAAAGTACACATTTTTATCACCTTTTTTCAATAAAATATTAATATAACAAAATTTCATTTTTTTTGTTTGGATATGATTCTCTTTTGTATTGAACAAATACTAGTCAAATACCGCTAGTAGGGCATATCAGATTTTTCTACTCACCAAAACTTTGTTAAAGTTATTTTTATTTTAAAGCTGCGAAAAATACAATTATTAAAAGCCGAAAAATGTAAACAGTGAAAAGTAGATTGGTATGAAGTGGAAAAGGACGCAGTACGGAGTTCCATTAGCCTGCCACGTAGCACGTTGCCACCTCCGGCCCAACATTTTTTTCGATATTTTTTTTTAAATTTTTAATTTCCGGTCTTATCATCTCATTATTAGATTTATTACCCACAAATTATAAATACTCGTTAAAAAAACTCTTTGGCGCCAAAGAATGTACGTATTATCCTGGTTACATCGCCTTGACCAAGACTCCACGCGTCGAAATGTAATTGGCGAAAAGTAGGGGGGACCCATGTGCCGTTGCCCCCATCTATGACTCCGTTAATCATAGCTACTCAACTCGCCGTGATATTGCACACTCATGTCTAAAACCTGTCAATCACAATAAAATTGTCATAAACATTTTATTTTTAAATTGAAAATTACTTTATATAATTAAATATTGAGGGGTAATTTTTTTAAAAAAAAATCATAGTGATTAATTTTTTTTATCCCAAATGGTAAATTTATTAACTTTGTAATTTTTAATTTCTTTGTATTTTGTCTGTGATTGTAGCATTTCTCTTCGACATTATTCTTTCCTCTTATTCGAATGCGAACGGGTGTGCGCCATCTCCCTCTTCTCCTTTTCCCCTTCTGCCAACTCACACAACTTCATCTTCTGTTATCCTTTCTCATTTCCCATTCAATTTTAATACGGAGTATTATTTTCAACACCTATTTTAATTTAAATAATTAAATTAAAAATAAGAAGAATAGAAATTTATTTAAAAAGTATTTTTTTAACTCAAAATAATTAAATATTTCATTAAAATTTAAATGAGAAATACAATAATAGTACATCTAAGAAATCTAATAAAAATGTGTAAGACAATACTCTATAATTTTTTAAGGAGAACAATAACAATATATAATAAAAATAACATCCCCAATTGACTGCTGTGTTTAAATAGTAAAAAAATTTTGATTTTATTTTTTTTATTTCCAACGGTTATTTTCAACAACAAAAAATATTACTTGGAAAGGGCGGTAGGAAAAACGTGGAGGGGATCCTAGCTGCCTTTCCCGTTCTCGTCTGGAGGGCGGCGGTATTCCCCTACCGTTCCCGCACCACGTGGCCCTTCTTGCTGGACTTTTCCATTGTGCACCTCTCAGCCTAAAAAGAATTTTACTCCTTCGTTCCTTTTTTAGACACTATTTACATGAAAAATATTACGGAGTAGTACGTATGTATTTTCTTTATCACCTTTTGTTACCCAATTGATATAATAATATACCAATGTTGTCTTTTATTTTATAAATCTTTTGGTAAAAGTTTTATATATAAAATTTTTATTTTTTATGTATAAACAAATTTTGAGATAAATTGAATCAAAAATAATAATTATCAAACATAATAACCAAAATTTTTCCTTTTATTTTGAGATGAATGAAGTATATTCTTTCACATAATTTTATATATCTTCTTTGGAATTAATCAACATAATTTTCTTTGGAATTGTCTCCATTTTTGTCACAATTCCTCACTTTCCCCAATAAATTGAAATACAGGTTACCCACATTTTTCTCGGTTTACTTCACAAATTCCACTTAATCAGTTTTTTACTTTTGAAAATTTTCCCTAAGGTAGATAGAATTAAACTCTTCAAATTTAACCGGAACGGAGAGGTAGATATTCTTTCTTTTTACATTTTTAATTGTTCGTTAAAAAAATTTAATTACTCAAGTTATCATTTGTTTTGTACAGTTTTCAATGAATATAAGCACATTATTCCGTAGAGCTAAGGTCCATGCTCATTTTATAAACTTTAATGCATTTGTAACATTAAAGAAATGAGCCCTTTGTAGAAAAAAATATTCACAAGTAAGTCCATGAAAAGTATGAGAAAATCCATATTTAAATATAAACTTTGAGACCATGTAAGTGTCACTTTTCAATGTAAATTTAAATCTTATTTTTAAATGCAGAATTTTTTTAAATTTTAACCAAACGTCATTCATTGAAATAGGCAGAAATTAAAGAAAATGGTTGAAGAATAAAAAAAATGTATCATACTCGTAGAAAAAATTATTCCTCCCGTTCCTGAGCATTTATTCATTTTTTACTTATTTTAAACAAATTTATAAATTTTCACTTCAAATTAAATAAATAAAATATTCGATAATAATATAAAATAATTTGATTATATTTATTAAATAGAATCTTTTTAAAATATTATTTTATTCTATGTTATTTTTTTGAAATTGTGAAAACTGAACAACTATTGAAGAAGAGTGATGAGAATAAATGGAAATACTCCATTATTTTGGATAAAGTTTTTTTTCTTTTATGGAGGATAAATATCTCTGCGCCTTCATTTTCTAAGGTCACCTAGATTCCCTTTCAACTCATTCCCTTGTTTTGCGCTCTCTGAGACGAAAGAAGTCGTTGAATGTGCGTTGGACATGGCGTCTGCCTGCGTGAACCCCGTCGGAATGTCGCCGGACTCCTTTCTGGACTGCGCTCCGGCCAAGTACTCTTCCTATGGCTGGCTCAGCCCGAGAGCTTCCTACAGTCAGGAGTTCCCCGACGAGAAGGATAGTACAGCCGGGACGAAGCGTCAGTCCCAGCGCCAGGAGAACTTTGGCGACGCTAAGGAGGAGGAGGACTCAGATCCGGAGCTCTCCGTGAAGGATGTAGGAGATTTTGAGTTCCGCCTCGACGATCCGGTCATAATGCTGCCGGCGGACGAGCTGTTCTATGACGGAAAGCTGGTGCCGCTACATCTGTCGATGATTCGGCCGGCGGCGGCGGCGGCCTCCGCCGCCGCGACTGCGTCCGTGGAGGTTAGATCTCCGGATACGCCCAAGCTGCGGATCAGAAACGAGATTTCCGGTACGGATCCCTACCTGTTCTCTCCCAAGGCGCCGAGATGTTCCAGCAGGTGGAAGGAGCTTCTAGGGTTGAAGAAGCTCTACCAGAACAGCAACACGAGGCCGGACAATCAGAAATTGGCGTCGTCTTCCTCGTTGCTGAACAATAGCGGCCATAAAACTCTGAAAAACTTCCTGAATCGCACCTCGAAATCCATGAACTCGTCTATTGACGCCTCCCTCAGCCTTCCCCTGCTAAGGGACTCCGACAACGAGTCCTTGTCTGTCTCTTCCAGGCTATCCCTCTCGTCCTCCTCTTCCGGCCACGAGCACGACGACCTCCCTCGCCTCTCCCTCGATTCCGAGAAACCGAACGGCCACGCTCGCAATGCAAGTCAAAATATCAATCCTCCTCGAGTTCGAGCGGTGAGGCCGAGGGCGTCGTCGTCGGAGAACCCCACATCCACGGCCACGCGAATGGGGCGGAGCCCAATGCGGAGAGCACCAGATGCAGCCACGACAGCAGCGCGTGGAGTCTCTGTGGACAGTCCACGCATGAACTCGTCGGGGAAGATAGTCTTCCACAGCCTGGAGAGAAGCTCGAGTAGTCCAAGCAGCTTCAACGGCGGCCCAAGGTACAAGCTCAGAGGAATGGAGCGGTCGTATTCAGCCAACGTCCGCGTCACTCCGGTCCTCAACGTCCCAGTCTGTTCTCTGAGGGGGTCATCCAAATCCGGCGTCTTCGGGTTCCCTTTATTCTCATCATCTTCCCAACCGAGAAAGGAATCCGGCAGCTCCAGCATCGGAAATGGCTCCTCCGGGGGAAGTAAATCTCACCAGAGCATCTCCAAACACCACCGAACAGATCGCATCAAGGAATGATTTGGGTAATCCAAACTCAACTTTTTTCCAGTCAAAAACAATTCTCTCAATTCCATTTTGCTTTCTTTTGATTGATTAATTAACTCCTAGATTAGACTAGATGCTGAGTGAGTGTTGTGTTGGGTGTTTGAATCCTTTTCCTTCTGATTAATTTCTTTTCTTCTTTTTTTGTTAAATTTTTAAAATTTTCCATCAAGAATTGGCATGAGAGAATGTGTAAATAGTTAGTTTTGGTGGTCTGTTATTCGACCAGATTGAACTGTTGAAGTGAACTCTGATTAATGTTCATTTTCCGTTGGTTATTTGTGAGCCTTGATGATATGATTGCTCTTTTCTTTGCCCTTTTTTCCACCAGAAAGTCATGAGAATCCTCTCCTCCCACCCACTCAACTTTTTTCTTCTGAAAAGATGGATTGCAATTGCATCAATTAATCATTTTAATTAAAAAGGTTTTGTAGGACACAATTGTCCATAACTTTGGCCTCCAATTGGGAAGCCAGACTTGTAAATATTTTGGTTCATAACTCCTGATTAAAACAATGAATAATGTCCAATTTGTGTGGTATGGTATGAAACCAGTGCATGTATTGTTGGGATTCCTCCAAGTCCCACACCGGAGGGAGAAGAAAAACTGGACCAAAATAAAAAGGTTCACCCAACCCCATTAGTATGAGGCCTTTTGGGAGGTGGCTAAAAACAAATCCGTGAGGGTTTGGCCCAGAGCGGACAATATCATACTAATGCGGGATTGGGGTGAGGGCACGCGCAGTCCCAACATGTATATATCAAGAACACATCTTAATCTTCATTTTTTGTCGGATTAGACAATTGTTGGGCTGGTTTGATAGGGCCCTACAGATTAGATTTGTTCTTTCATAAAGTGTTTCATCTTGATCCCTTTAGCTACATCTTAGATCAATGTTTCATCTTTTTATTATGTGGGGTAGATTTAGTGGGCGTTGTGCAGTTGACAAACGTAGAATTGAGGGTTTGGCCCAGAGCGGACAATATCA